AGGGGGAAGGAGGGAGGACGTTGCTTTCTTTTAGGAAAGATGGAAAGTGCGTGCAGGAATTCTACATTGGGAAGAAGACCAACACGCCCGGCCGCTACACTTTTGAGTGTGAGTCACAGTGCCCCATGGCTTGGCAGGGGTTGGCCATGAGCGGGTACAAAGGCAACTGGCCAGGAATATTCTGGAAGAAGTGGGGAGTGGGTGAAGGGGGAGGTGCCCCCACAGCCTGGTAGCCACCCCTCTGAGTTTCAAAATCCCAGAGCGGCAGCCCCGTATTCTTCCCTGGAATGCCACGGTTCCTCATGGACTGCGGCCCTTCTCCTGGGTGCTCCCCGAGGCTCCAGCTGGAGGGAGGACGATGGAGAGAACGGCTCTGGCGCTTCCTTGCCCAGGCCCTGGGGTGCGGCTAACATTTCCCCCGTGAACGTAGGTCCCAAAGCACAAAGGAACGTTGGTGAGGCGGGGTACCAGCCTGCGCCCCTGGAGAGGAGGGCGCAGAGCTGAGTGGCGCCTGATGGACAGGCTGCGTCTAGCATCTGCCGAGCTGGAGCCTGGCAGGAGGCATAGACAGCTCTGTCAAGACTGGGGAGTCCTGGCCCCCCTTCCCCCTGCGCTGCCCTCCCTGCCTCCTGCCCCAGAGAGAGACTGAGACAATGACACAGACACAGAGACACAGAGCTTGACGGAGTCTGTGGTCTGGGTGGCAGGGTCCTGGGCTGTGGCCAGCCAGTCAATGCTGAGCGATGGGCAGGCTGAGCCCTTGGGGGAGGCGCGGGTGCTGGCGGGCAGGGTGCCTAGACCCAGCAGGCCTTGCGCCATCCTGGTTTCTGTTGCAGACGAAGGTAAAAACTTCCTCACCTTCGTGGCTGTGGGCGATGGCTTCCTCATCATGGACCTGGAGAACCGCCGTGAAGCGGGTGCTCTGATCGTGGTGGAGCTCCACGGTAGGTGCCAGCCCCATCCCACCTGGGACAGCGGAAGAAGCGCATGTCTCAGGACAAGGCGAGGAGACCTGGGGTCCTGGCTGGACGGCAGGCCGCAGTGGGCAGCGGGGCTCAGGGCTGGAGCCTTCCCCAGGGGCTGCCCCAGGGCCCTCCTTGCTGGCCTCCAGCGGGTTCCAAGAGGTTGCAGTCCCCTGTGACTGGGTGTTTGACTCCGGGGACTGCAGGCAGGACCTTCCTGGTGAACGAGGTGGGGCAGGAGGCGTACAGGAAGCACACGCTCAGGAGAGGTATCCAGCCAGACAACATTGTGGAACTGTCTGCTCACGGTAAGCCACCTCGGCAGGTGCCACTTCTCACAGGGACCGGAACACGCTGGCCAGGGTAAAACCCCCCGTAGGAAGTCCTCCCTGGGGCCAGAGAGGGCAGTGGACAGGAGGAGGGGGTCCGCATGGGCTGGGGTGGCCTCATCTGGGGTCAGTAACCTCTGTTCCCTCTTTGGTCTGCAGCAAGATGCACCTCCCTGGGGTCCTAGGTGAGTAGACACCTGCCTGTCCCCTGTCTTTACTGCCACCAGTTCTGGCAGGTGGCTTTCTCTGGGGACCACCCTGCCCAGTGCAGCCCCTAGTCCACTGGGCTATGCTTGCTAAGAGGCTGTGTTCTGGGACCGAGACTGAGTCAGAACATCAGACCTAGGCCAGCCCAGAGGAGCTGGGCCCCTCTTCAGAAGCCCAGCTTGGGATCTCGATGGGCCACAGCTTCCAGCCACCCAGGAGAAGGGAGGTTCGCCCCTGGCCTCAGCCTCCCTGTTCCTCATCTGCAGTCACCCCCTTCCTGCCCACCCCTGTACACACACACCATGGTGCACACACACACACACACACTCCCGGCCACTCCCTGGCTCATCCTGTGCTTGGCCCAGTGCTCCCTGCATCCTGGTGCCCCTTAGAGCTCTGCCGAGCACAGTCAGCCCCTCATCCCTCCAGGGCCTCCCGGGTCCTCCCCTGCACCCAGGGCAGTATGCCTCCCCACACCCTGCCTTCTGGCTTGTTAGGCAGGCTCCCAGGCCAACGTTGAGGCTGTCTCAGTGGCTCGAGGATTGGGGGGATACCGAGGAATCACCTCTCAAGACCAGGGACAGGAGGCTCAGCGCCTGTGACCTGGAGGCCTGGCCTAGTGTAGGGGGCTCGAGACAGAGGCCCGTGAGGCTCCAGGGATGCAGGAGCTTGCCTTCTTGCTCAGCCAAGGGGTATGCAGGGCCTGGGGAACGAGGCTGCAGGGCCCTGCAGAGGCTAGCACGTGGGCGGGGCGGGGGTGACCTGCTGGGCCGGAGATCAGCAGCAAAGCTTCTGGCTTCCCAGGGCCCCTGTGTGCAGCCCAGAGCCAGCGTTTCCTGTGGCCCCGAATCTGGATGCCTCCTGACCTGCGCCCTTCCCCCGTACAATAAACCAGTCCTGCATCTGCTCTGGGGCTTCTTGTGCCCAGAGGCCACCCGGGCTCTTTTCTGCTCAGAGGAGGGACCTCCCTGGGCAGAGGGAGGTGTGGTGGAGAGCAGAGCTTCTCCATCCCTGGAAACAACCCCTGGGGCACAGGCAGGGCTCCCAGCGGCAGAATCCCACACCAAGGGCAGCAGCTGGGTTTGGAGGGGCCACAGGGTGTGCCAGGCCCCCCAGGCCCTGGTGATCCCATTCAGACCCAAAGGAGTCCCCACCCCCGTCTGCATCTGTCCTCCTGAGCCGGAGCCGGCATAACTTAGGCTGCGTGTCACTGGCCAGAGGAGCGAGGGAGGGGGCAGATTGCTCCACCCCACCAAGTCCCTCCAGGGCCTCCCAGAGTGGCCAGTACAGGGGGACGCTCCCTGGGCCTGGGAAGCATGGTCAGGATGCAGAGAGCTGCGGGCCACTCACCAGGGGCCCTCGAGCACAGCCCGCTCAGCCCACAGGGCAGGTGGGGGTCTGCCACTCAGGCGCTGTCTCCGGCTGTGGGAGGCAGGCCCTGCCGGGTCCTCGTCCAGCTCCCAAGGCCTGAGCCAAACGTGTCTGTGGCCAGGAGTGGGAGGCCACCCCATCTTCCAGCCCGGCCCCAAGCCAAGGCCGACCTCAGGGGGCTGTCCCCGCCCCAGAGGGCCCAGTTTCTGCCTCACAGAAAGCCCCAGGAGGGCCCTGCTGGTCAGACCAGCCTGCTCTGGCTGGGGCTTCCGACCCTCCCCAGCAGGTGACGGCTTCATGCCACACCAAAGCTGGTGGGAAGTTCACTTTACCCCAACTCCCAGGACAGGTGCTGGGCAGGTGCCTGGCACAGGTCAGCCAACTCCACCCTCGAGCCCCACACAGGGTCGGTCACTCCCAGAGCCAACTTTCTGCCGCAGGGGAGCCTGGGCCTCTGGTGACCCTGGACCTGCCACTTCTGCACCAGATTCCAGAATGTGGAACTGGATCCTGTTGGGGCAGCTCTCCAGGCTGGGGTGCGGGGGGTGGGGTCAGTTCTGAGCTCAGCTCCTGGCCAGGCCAGGCCCGCAGAAGGGCAGGGCTTGGAGACGAGGTGAGAAGGGCCAGCAGAAGGTGGGGTGCAGAGGCAGGCGTCCCATTCGGAGACCAGCTGGCATCTCTGCAGTTGCACAAGGTGGGGAGGGCTGGGCCAGGGGGTAGGCACGGATTCCTTAAGGCAAAGGTGGACCCCCGAAAGTGGGCAGCCCACACCATCCTGGACACACGGTGGGGGGCGGCTTGGGGTGGAGAGAGGCGGCTGATTCATAACGTTCATAACAGAACAAATAAGCACCAGCCCTGGCTTGGTGCCCAGGCCCAGTGCCGTCTGAGGGCCTTCTGTGCCACCCCCTTCAATCCCCCCACAGGCAGGAACTAAGTGGGTGCAGGTGAGTGGGGACACGAGTGGTCCTTGCAGGCCTGCTCACAGGCCTGGGAGGAGGAGCTGGGCCTGTGGGCGAGGCAGACACGTCTTATCCTCCCGGGTCCTCCTCGGCCTCCCTGGGCAGGAGGCCCACCCCCAGGTTCCCAGGGCAGGCCCGCAGGTGGCTAGGCTGGCCTGACAACCAGGCCACATCCTCACATCCCAGACACAGGCGGGTGGGGGCTAGGAGGCCGCGTCAGTCCTGGGGGAGGACTGGGATGCTCAGGGCTGGGAGGACCCAGAGCTGGTGAGGCAGCTGCCGGGGACAAGTGGCTGCTGGAGGACGTTCGCAGAGCAGGGGAGTTTGCCAGAGCGGCTCCCAGGACCTGGCACCAGGATGCTGGAGAGAGGGCTGCTGCTGCTGGCTCTCGGCCTGGGCCTGGCCAGCACCCAGGGGACTCTGGAAGAGGTGCCAGTGCAGCCCGGCTTTGACGCACAAAAGGTAGGTATCGTGGGCCCAGCCCATAGACGGTACCAGGACAGGGACTGGACAGCGTCACATCGAGGAGGTGCTCAGGCCAGAGGCAGGGGTTGGGGTTCGGCCCAGCCTGTGCTGCAGGAGCTCTGGTGGACCCAGGAGCATGAACCTCAAGGTCTTCCTGTCTTCTCCCAAGAGACAGAAGCCAAGAGAGGTCCCCACAGCCTGCTGGGTTGAGGGGTCCCCCACTGGATGACACCAGGGAGCAGAGAGAGTCCTTGTCTGTCCCTGCCCACCCATTCTGGGGTCTCAGCACCCACAGTCAGGCGTGGGAACTCAGGATCCAGGCTAGGAGGGGCAGTCAGAGCAGCTGCAGGACAGACCCTTCTCCTGCCTGCCCTCCCTGGACTCGCAGAGGAGACAGCTTGGGTCAGACTCGGGAGTGGACCTGGAAGGGAGCAGCAGGAGTCAGGAATCAGGTCAGAGAGGCAGAGCGCCTGAGAGTCAAGAGCAAGCGAGATGTTTTCAAGAAGGGAAGCCACACTTGACCCCGAGGAAGTCCACCAACACGCCCCCAGTGGAACCGTGGCCAGTACCCGCCCTGGGAGTCCCTGCCCACCTGCTGGCCAGGCTCAGCTGATCCTGGACAGGGGACTAGCCAGCCTTGCCTGTCCCTGTGCCCACATTCCCACAGATGGAGGGACGCTGGTTCACCATGCAGCTGGCCACCAGCCACGCAGACCTGGTCTTGCCAACTGACCCGCTGAGGCTTGCTCTCCACTCCATCTGGACCAGAGAGGGTGGGGACCTGGCATTGGTGCTGTTCTGGATGTAAGCGTGGGCCCTACATCTTCCTTCTCAGGCCCAGGCCCCCAAGGACAGCACCAGAGGCCCAAACCAGGGAGACACATGACAGTGAGCTGGGCTGGGGTCCCTTCCCTGAGAGGGGCAAGCCCTCACACTCCAAGAGAGGGGCCAGCAGGAGGGACAGACCCCTAAACCCGTAGGCCCAGGCCATGGCCGGGCATAGCGGCAGTTGGGCCCAGGGCATAGCCGGCTGTGATGTTCAGCTCCAGCCTGGAGACCGTCGCTAGCCCAGGGGGCAGACCTCTGTCTCCAGCCATCTGAAGCAGCCGACTTGCCCGGCACATGGCACATGCCTGGAATCCCTGCCACTGCAGAGGCTGAGGCAGGAGCTGGCAGTTCAAGGTCAGCCTGAACCAGCTGAGACTGTCTCAAATATTAATTATCAATGAATAAGTGAAGTGGCTAATTATTCCCAAGAAGCCTCACGGAGGAGCACTGCCCAGGGCCACTTCTGCTCAGCACTAACCCCACGAGGACTGTGCCAGCCTGCACCCAGCCTAGGAGAAAAGACCACTGTCTAGCTGATGGCCTGTTCTAGACACAGACGCACGGTGGCCCCGGGGACACGGGTCCATAAGCACATGCCCTGACCCTGCCCGCGGATCTGGAGCCCCTGGGGCAAGGGCCGAGGGGGTGGGGCTTGTCCACACACGGAGCTGGACAAACAGGAACAGCGCAGACAGGTCCCTGACCCCAAGACCCAGAGCTCAGAACCTGGGGCTAATGAGTCCAACCCCTTCAGGAAGCTTGGGTCCACCCAGCAACAGGCCACCCCACTCCCTCACTCTTGCCCAGGGCCCCTCAGCTCCACTCTGGGCACCGTGGCCCCATCCTCCTCCCCCAGATGCCTGACCCTGATGCAGGTACCAGTGCCAGACTGCCCCAAGCCCAAGGGGCCAAGAGCATGGGGACACCAGCACTCCCAGCACAGGGCTCCCCAGTGTCCCCCTGAGACAGGTAACTGGGAGCCATAAGAGGGTGACGTTTTTTCCCAGGGGAGAAGGGGTGTGTAGAGGAGTGAACGTCACCCTCCACCCAGCTGGGCTGCCAGGCCAGTACCAAGGCTCCTGTGAGTACCCAGCCTGGGGTCTGGCCCTCACTGAGTGGGGAGGGGTGAGCAGGGCCCCCGACGCTCCATTCTGCCCTGACACCAGGAGGCTGTGGGCTTCGGGGGGTGGGGAAGAGCGCGAGCTGAAAGGAAGCGGGGCGTCCTCTGGAGCCGGCTCTGTGCTGCCCGTGGGAGGGGCCGGGGGCCGGGGAGGAGGAGAGGTGTGGTGCCTCAGCTGCCTGGGGTCCCCAGTCGCGGGGGGCAGCATGCACGTCTGCTTCGTCAGCTCCGACTACAGCAACCTCATTCTTTACGTACGCTTTGAGGACGTCGAGGTTACCAGCCTATGGGCACTGCTGGGTAAGTGGCCGGCTCTCTCCAATGCTGGCCAGCATGTCGCCCAGATCACCAGAGGGGAAGCGGGAGGCCCTCTGGGGTCTGCATCGGGCCCACTCCTTCAAGGAGCCCTGGGCGGCTCTGCCCTGGGCTGCTTTCAGGGGATTCAGGGCAGGGGCCACTGCAACAGTCCAGGGAAGAGGACAGGCCGGGCCTGGTGGCAGCAGGGCAGGCGGCCCCACAGTGGACCAGCCCCAGTGTGTGCCCTGCATCTCAGCTGCAGCATCAGAGGGCTGAGGCCCAGGGCTTGCACCCGCCGCCCAGGCTCAGCCTCCCTGTTGTTCACCCCAGAGGAGGGCGTGGAGAAGATGCGGCCCTGGGCCTTGGCCCTGACCACAGCCCTGTGATTTCAGCGAGAAGAATGCTCGAGGACCCCGCGTGGCTGGGGAAGTACTGGGAGTACGTGGAGAAATTCCGCCTGCAGAGCGCCCCGGTCTTCAATGTGGCCGGTAAGCTGCATCCAGCTCCTCCCAGCCACTGCCTGGCCACAACAGCTGAAGACCACAGCTGACGCGGGCAGGTGCTTCACCTGTCGGGTCTCACTCAGTCCACGGGCCACACGGGAGGGGAGGCACGGCCGGTGGGGGTGGGAGCGGGGGACAAGAGGCCTGTCCTGTGATTGGTTCATTACCTGAGCAATTTCAGAGTGACCAAATGAAGGCCTTTTTCTCTGTCCCTCCACAGGACAGTGCCCCAGCCCAGGCCCAGGGGAGTCCACTCCCTGAGCCTTCCTGCCTGGGCCTCCATCCCTCTGCACTGACCCCAGCTCCCCTGTCTTCTGGCCAGGGACTTGCCCAAGAGCCTGAAGCCCCTGCAGTCTCTCCTCTCCCCCCTCCCTGTGGGTCACAGGGCCACCTGCCAACTGACCACATAGGGACCCATAGCATCTCCCAGCCTGGCCTGCACCTGAAAGAGTGGGAGGGGCGTGTGGCCCCACGTCCCCACCTCCGCAGAAACACCTGCAGGAGCAGATTGCCAAGGTCCTCACGCCGGCCCAGGCTGGCAGTGTCACCCCGTGGTGTGCGTCACAAGGCAACCCCAGGAGGTTCATCTCAGGCGCTCCTGCCCCTGACCTGGCCCACCTGGGTCTGCCCTGGGCCACTCTGGAGAGTGACCACGACTCTAACCACACTCCCCCCTGGGAGCCAGCTGGGGCTGCCAGGGGATGTGCGGATGGGTCACTGAGGCAGTGGACGCCCGGCTCAGAGCCAAGGGCCCTACAGTGCGTGCCCACCTCTGCTCCAGCTGGGCAGGCTCCGGGGAAACCAGGTCAGAGTCCTTGACACCCACCTAGACAGGCCTGGCAGGTGCCCAGCCCAGAAGACACCTCTGCAAAGCCTACCAGGAGCCCCGCCTGGCCAGCTGTCCCCACGCTCCACCAGAGTGAAATAAGCATGACCTAAAACACTGAACCACCACGAGGAGGGTTTTGCCAGGGGTGACTCAAAAGCTGGTGACACGGTGACAAAATGGACCGACAGAACAGAGCCGCTTCCCCATAACCAGCAGCCCTGGAAATGTGATAACCCAAGAAGGTGCAGACTTTCTGTGGAAATAAAGATATCCTTATTCTGGACTCAGAGAGCCGCCCGGGGCTGGGGTGCGGCTGGGTGACAGAGGCGTACTCAGCAGGCGCACCGCCCAACAGGGTCAACAGAATAAATGCCCGCGCTCCTCGGGGTCCTACAGGTCCCCCAGCTCAAGTTGGCCTCCACATGCCAGCCACCGAGGCCGCGCTCCAGGGGGACGTTTGCCCGAAAAAAAACCCAGATCTAAAATTTACATGAAAGAATACAAGTTTAGAAATGTTTAAAAAGAAAAGCATCGAAATGGTCTGCCTCTGGGACGTAACCACAGGGGGAAGTCACGTGGCAGGAGCGCAGGGCAGGAAGAAAGACAGCGAGGCCCAAGGTCAGCAGACAAACACACGTCCCTACAGCACGGGTGACAAAATGGCCCACCCTAATGGCACCTGCATTGAATAAAGGAGCTGACGGCAGCAGAGAGACCTCTGGGGGCACAGGAAGGGCAGAGGTTAACTCAACTCCTGACCCATTCTTCAAAAGAAGAAACCTAGAAATTTCTGTCCTCCCTATACTTGGGGACCAAGGTGCCAACAGGTAGGACAGAAAGAAACCCCAAGGGAAAAGAGGGACCTACGGAGCCTTTGGATCCCCGCACATCAGTTATCACCTGCAGAACTGAAATACAAAAAAAGTGTCACTAATATTTGCCACGAAATTGACAATGAATTCCCATCACACAGATAAATATATATCAAAGCTACTCCCTGATTCAAATGGGAGTTCGAAAAATGAGCAAAAGACCCCAAACGGGGCTCTCTGCACACTCGCGGAACCCAGAGCTGCCGAGTGCAATGTGAAGAGAGGGGGGCCGGGCTCTGAGTCACCCAGCAGAAGACCCCTCATTGTCCACCAAATAAGACAGGGACATTTCTAGACAGATTCAGTGATGCCCACTGTGTGGGGAGGGCGGCCCTCGAGTAAGAACAGGGCTTGGCAGGCCTCCCTGGACTCCTCAGCAGACCCGAGCGTGGCCCCAGAAGCCCACCCACTGGCCAGCTGACCTCTGTCCCCAGGTGAACCAAGGGCTTGGTCTGCCTTGATGCTGGCTCCGCTGCTTGTACGTGGGCATTTTGAGCTCCTCTCCATAACCCTCCCTGCCTCGACGCCACCTTGGCAGAGCCCCTGCTCAGGGCAGTCCCCCTGCCTGCCAGGTCAGACCCAGGGCAGCGACAGACGGCCCTGGACAGGGCTGTGGCCAGGGTCCTTCTCCCTCCTCACTCCTGGCATCTGTGGAGACACTGAATGCAAGGGGGAAATCACTCAGAGCAGACGGCTGAGCGGAGCCGAGCCTGGCCCTGGAGTGCCAGAGGGCCGGGCAGGGAGGCGACAGGAGTGACCGCGGTCACAGCCCCGGGTCTGACCCTGAAGGCGGCAGCTCCTCCAGCCACAGCGCTCGGCCCCCATCTGCCCTGCGGTGTCAGCAGCAGGGTCACCGCCAGCTCCAGAACACCCCCCCCCATTCACTAGGCTGCCAGGCACCTGGGCAAAGGTGGGCGGGAGGCCCCCTCCCAGCACTGGAGGCTCAAGTCCAGGGCCTGGAGCCGCAGGTTGCCCCTCCAAGGCCTCTCCTGGGCTGGGCCTCACTGGTCATCCGTCCGCATGGGTCCCAGTCCTGATTTCCTCTTCTGATGAGCTCACTCCTGTTGCACTGGAGTCGGGTCCACCCTGTGGGCTTCATCTTGACCTCATGACCTCTGCAAATGCCCCGTCATGTTCTCAGAAACCAGGGCTCAGGCTTCCAAAATGAGAGGCAGGGGGACCACTCCTCAGCCCGTAGCACTCAGGGTGCACCCCTGCGTAGGGGCCCAAAGCCTGCCAGAGAGCAGTGGCCCCCTGAGCCTGCAGGGCTCATCTCCTTAAAACCCTCCGGGCTGCCGAGGACACTACCATCCTGGCCACCTCTGACCGAGAGGCTTAAGCAGGTAGTCAGCAAACAGCTCCTCAGGAACAGAGGCAAAGGGCCAGCTTTAAACCCGCGGCTTACCACCTCTCTGTGTTGCCAGAGAGCCCGCCTCCAGCCACCTAGGACCTTCACCTGCAGGACAGACTGGCCACGACCTTCCTGCATCCAACACCAAGCTCGTGCCACATGCTGGGAGAATAAACAGATTTTTTTTTTTTTTACGTTTATTTAATAACACTTTTCTGATTTGCAAACAGACTTTTTCTGAACTGGAGTGTTCCTTCATTAAAAGAAAATAAAATCGTTCTGTGTCAAAAGCATGTTCACGTTGTCCACACCACCAGACGGCAGCCTCCGTGAACGAACACTCAGCACACCCTCACTCTTCATCCCAGATCAACCGAGTCAGAGGAGTCGCAATCGTGAGGAGGAAGAGCCCTCTGGAGGGGGGTATGTTTTGAATCTATAAATGGGGAGGTTTGGCGTCCTGCGAGTGTGACCGCGGGGACTCCCTCCTGTCCTGAGGGCGTGGAGCCCCCTCAGCTCCTCTCGGGGTGCAGCGCCACCTTGACGTAGTGGACCTGGGGCGGGGCGTTGAACGTGGGGTCCCAGCCGTATTCGGGGGACAGCAGCTTGGTGGGCTTGTGGAGGAAGAAGAACTTGTTGAGGTGCCTTTCGAAGGTGCTGTTGAGCCCAATTTTCAGGTCGTGGATGACGCCCTCCATGTAGTCCCTGATGAAGTCCAGGACTCTCTGGGGTGTGCCCCCAATGATGGAGCCGCTGTAGAAGAAGTCTCCCTGTCCGAAAGGGATGTAGGCCGAGGACTGAGGCCGCCTCTCGTAAGGGTAATTCCGGGTGTTCCTGAAGTACCACCAGGCATGGAGCTGCGCCACGGAGGTGCCCAGCGTCTCCACCCCAAAGTCGTCCTGGAAGATCAGGTCGGCCGTCATGCTGAAGAGGAAGTCGGCCTCCTCCAGGAAGAGGAAGTCGGCCTCCTCCAGGAAGAGGAAGTCGGCCTCCTCCAGGAAGAGGAAGTCGGCCTCCTCCAGGATGTGCGCCACGATGTGCGCCCCCAGGACCTTCATGCGAATGAGGTCGATGTCCGACCACCACTGCTCCTCCTCCATCAGAAGCAACTGGAAGGTGCAGAGTGGACGGAGCTCCATGCTGGGCCGCTTGACGTAGTTGTTGGTCATGATGTAGAAGACCACCCTGTGGCCGGGCATGAAGTACTTGTTGGCCGACTGCAAGAACAGCTCCAGGTACTCATCAGCAAACCTGGGACACACGGAGCAAGAAGCCTGTGTCCCTTCCCTACGTGTTCTCTGGGGAACAGAGGCCACCAAAGGCCACCTGATGCCAAAGAGCCCAACATCCCCCGGGAGAGAAGGTGGGGCTGCAGCTCCACTGGGTCAGTCAGAGGGCCAGGAAGTAGTGAGCCCCGGGGCCTGACGTGCCTTGGAATTTTGGAACCACTGAGCCAGAGCTAAGTGGACGCTGGCCTCCCAAGTGGACCCTCGGACCCAGCCAAGGTGGAAAAGTGACCACAGCAAAGTTCTTGTACAGGTCGGCTGGAAGCAGCAGCATGGCAAGGACAAGCTGCCCTCTGGGGCAGAACGTCCATGATGCGTGTCCTCAGTTTTTCCCAAGAAGGGCACATGTTGGGGGCACCTACCTGCCTCTAGCAAAGACAGCCAGGCCCACGGTGAGGTTCCGCTTCCTGTAGAACTTCTCCAGGGCCTGTGTGCTGAACGTGCCTTCCCACAGGATGGGGGCCAGCCAGTCGGTGGTGGTGGTGACGTCCGAGCGTTTCCTGGGCAATACACAGAACAATTAGGCAGGGCCACCATGCTGGCTGGTGGCCGCTGATGCAGCCCCTCCTAGGCACTAGACAGGGCCTGGCCCTGGCAGGACCCTCCGAGGCGTGCACGGGTGTCCTGCCTGCCAGCATGTGCAGAGCCCACAGAGGTCAAGTGCGTCACCCCAGGGTGACGGTCAACACGAGGCTCACACTGCTGGGCCAGTGTCTGCCTCGAGCTCTCCTCAGCCCCCACCTGCCTCCCAGGTCCAGAGGCCACTTCCTCCAGCTCTGGTGGCAGAAGGGCAGTTGGAGGGGAAAAGCAGCCCAACCAAGAACCCTCCATTACAGACCGAAGCCAGCTCACAGTGGGCCCGCAGCCTCCTGCACCGTGCCTCTGCCCCCGCCCCGCCCCCATGCCCAGTGGACATCCTCATGCCTGCTCCAAGCCAGCCGAGGGGCCAGCGAGGTCGGAAGACAAGTCAGAAACGGGGGAGACGGTTAGATTTCCATAATGAAGAAATGACAACAGGATTTCAGATGAGCCAGGCTGGCTCAAAATTTGAAAATCAATGTAAACCCCACATCAAAAGCCCAAGACCGACCCTGCGCCCATAGCAATCGGCGCGGACAAAGCAAAGAGTTTAAGAGGAAAAGCTATGGGAAGAGTTCTCAGAGGGGTTTTGAAAAGTTCTGGGTTGGGCTTGCTCAGGGGGGGCCCTCACCAGAACCTGACCGTGCTGCTCCCCAGGACTCAGCCTGCAGAACTGTGACAACTTGCTATTGTTAAAGCCACCCTGTCAATGGTACTCTGTTAAAGCAGCCAGAGTACAACAAGTATCACGCCCTGCGCCCTAGGTGGGACATTCACATCTGTTACCACAGTGTTGCAACGCACCAGGCTCTCGACCAGGAGGCACTGCATGCCAACGCTCACGGCAGCACAGATCCCAAGAGCAAAGCAATTCGAGCCCCCAGGAGCAGGACAGAGGGTGGATCTGCTGGGGCATTTCCACGCCAGAGTACTACACACATGTCAAAAAGAACTGCAACAATGTGCAAAATTTGGGTGAATCCTGGCCCCGTGGCACCAAGGAAGGGGTAGACCCAGAAGACCACCAACACGCACGGTCCCCTTTGAAAAGCTATGACCAAGATTCAAATGTGGATGCTTCAGAACACATACAGGTGAGATAAAATGATAGGGAAAGGAGAGTGGAGGTCAACCCACCAGGACCACACGGTCAGTGACGGGAGTTGGGCCAGTGAGTGTTGCAGAGGTGGACACGGACAGACAGGCAGGGTGGGGAAGGACAGATGCCCAGCCATGGGCGTGAAAGGCTGCAGCCCTGTCTCAAAGAGCCAGCAGACCGACAGGCAGCCTGAGTGGGCTCTGTGCAAGACACCTGCGCAGGCTGTCCTGAACCCACTCTGTCCACCTGGGGTCCCCTAAAAGACCCAGGTGAGAGAGGGACGCACAAGAGACCAGCCAAACACAAAGAGGCCCTCAAACCCCGCAACAGTCCCGGGAGTGCAGACTGAGTTGAGGGGCTCAATAAGCAGTTCTGCCACCTGTAAGAGTGGATGAGACGTGAGTTTATCCACTGTAAATAAGAAGATGAAAGGGGACGATTAGCAACTTTACCTTTACATCGAATGTTCTGATGTCTATGACCTTTGATCTAAGAACCCCATTTCAGAAATTTATCCCACAAATAATACACATCATCGTGAACAAAAAGGAAGAACCGGTCAGCCACTGACCCACTATGAGGACCTCCCCCACCTGTGAGCTACCCGGAGCCCCAGGGTCCGGCTCAATCGTTCGGCCAGCCCCAGAGGAGGCACAGCAGCCACCAGGACGAGGCCCCAGGGGGTCCCCCGGGGCAGCACCACCATTGGCATCGTGCCTCCAGGTGTGAGCAGGGAAACCTGAACAGACCCTCGAGACTCAGCCTGTCCCCCACCCCCTCAGTCGCTCTTCTGACCTAAAAGTCACTGATATTAAAGGACCAGACACACCTCTGTCACGGGGACATGATGGGGACTGTTGAAGCCAACTACTTCCTGATCTCCAGGAGCAAATCCTGAGCTGGGACAGCGGGCTGGGCCCTGCCGTCCGTCTGAACTGTGCACCCGTGGGCACACATGGCCGCCTGGGAGTCCCCTCTTCTCTTCTGAGTGCTAGTGTCCGTGAGTGAAGGGACCTGGGTTGGCTGCACATAGCTTGACCACCCCTGGATAAGCAGGACCTCGGAGCCCAGTGGACAGAGTGCGTCCACTCTCTCCTCACCTTGATGCTGGGGCTTGGTGAGCAGCACCTGGGCACCCACCAGAGCCTCAAAGACCAGCGCACCACTCTGGACCCAGGGCGCTACGACACGGGGATTGGAGGAAGGAACCTGTCCCTTCAAGGGAGACAGGCTGTTTTCATAAAGGGACATGTTTGTTCTTACTTGGGTTTAAACCAGGTTGACAGCTGAGGTTCTTCTACGCCGTAGTTCCTGGGGACAAAGGGGAAAGAAGCAGGTCATCACAGAAGCAGTTTGCTCAGGGAACACCTACGTGCTGAGCCCCCGGGGGAGGCGCTATTTGGAGCTAGCTCTACCCACATCTGCAGCCCCTGGCTCCTGTCCTTGGGAACACCCTCAACACTGATTGGCCCCTGGGACCCCCCTCCCCAGCACACCAACCCACACCTGGGTCCAGAGGCAGTGGGAGAGAGGTCTCCACAGGGTCTGGAGGAACAAGTTGGCCCAGGGAAGTGGTGTCCGGAGAAGAGGCTGTGACCCGAGGCAGAGTGGCCAGGAGGCCCTGTGTCTGGGGGACTCTGGAATCACATTCCAGGTAAGAGCGTGGGCATCCAGACCGGCATGGAGTTGGCTGATTTCCTCCTGAGAACCAATGGCTGCGCCCTGTGTTGGTGAGGAGTGTCGGGAGGTGCAGACCTGATCTCGGACTCTCTTAGACACAGATGCTCTGGACTCACGGCAGCCCCGTCCCCTGGTGCATGCTGCTAGCTGAAGCACCGTAAGCTGGAAGCATGTTTCACGCCCCTGGCCCAGCGAGTCCGCTCAGCCCAGCCAGGCCTGGCCGCACTCAGACCCTCACAGCCTATGGGGACAGTCGTTCCTGCAGAGCCTGTTTGAGACAGCACTGGCCACCTCATTGAACTGCTGAAGGCCGTGCTGAGTGGCAGACACGAGGGGTGCAGTTTTGCAGAAAGCTGGTGCAGAACAGGGCAGGTCAGGGGCAGCGGCACCAACCGTCCAGAGTGCTCTGGACCTCAGAGTGCATTCCCTCAGACATTATCTGAGTGTCCTCAGCGCTGGACCCCCCAGCACACACTCTCAGAATCCAGTTGTCCAGGCCGGATGTCATCAGGAGGGAACTTGATGAAGGCCACGTCTTTCACAGTGCTGGTCTTGCTGACTTCCAGTCCCAGGTAGGAGACATGCTGGTGGAGGAGCGCTCCCCACCCTGAAGAAAGTCACCATCCCACAGGGACCCTGTGGGAGCAGCGAGCGTCACCCTGGTGCTGGGACAGCTGGACGTGCTGAGCCACCATGGTGTGGCTGTCACCCTGGTGGTGGAGGTGGCCCTGCAGCCCAGGCTCACAGCAGGGTGGCAGCAAGCTAGTTGCACATCCAGTCACACCTGCTCATGCTGCTGCGCTGTCCCAACGGCCCTGACCCGAAAGACCCCAAGCCACTGCGGCCCTTCAGAGCTCTCTAGCCCCGGGCTCCCAAAGCCACAAGGCCACTCCCTGGGCAGGCAAGCTCCCTCCCCTTGCCTGTCCCCTCAGGGAGGCTGCCCGGGGCTGCAGAAGGCTGCCCTCGGCCGTCCTGTGCAAGCCTACCCTACGCTGCCCTCTCACGCCCTGTCCTCTCCGGGACCAGCCCCAGGTCCTCAGACCTAACAGACGTCAGCCGAACCAGCAGCTTTTCCCTCCAGCTGAACAAACATGGCAGGTCATGGCTGCTGTCCTGAGTCACCTTGCTGTGTGGAGGGGCTTGTGGGGGGAGGGTGCCCTGCTAACGGGGTCCGGCCCCTCGGCCCCACTGGACACCCTCGTCTTCTACTTCCCAAATCCATCAACCCAGCACAGGGTCTCCTTCTTCAGGGGCAGGAGACAGTCAAGCTTTGAATTTGAACAAAGACCTTTTGCAATTTGAAGTTTTAAATTTCTAGAATGAAGTTCCATGTATTTATTCATTTCTTAACCAGATTAATGCCTGAGCGTCTCACGTATGCGGGCGTGATGCCCAGTTCCCAGGTGGATGGCCGAGTCCCTGGCCCCCGCTTCCACTGTGAGCCCCTGTACAGCTGCTGCCGTGAGCCTCCGGGCCTCCGTCCTGTGCAGACCTCAGGGTTTTAGAAATGAGCCTGGCGGGCAGTGGCAGCTCATGGTTTCAATGACAAACAACGCTGGGCGTCTTTGTACTCTCGTGTTCTGTCTGCATGTCCTGTCGGGTGAGCTCTGGATGGCTCTCATGCCCGTTCTTAGATGTCTGGCTCCCTCCTTTACAAGCTCAGATGCAGGCCCTCCACGGGGTTGGCAAAGGCTTTCTCCCCCCGCCCCAGCCCGTCTCTCTCCCTCTCCATCTCTCCATCTCTGTTTCTCCCTGTCTCTCTCTCCCCCTCCCTCTCTCTCTCTCTCCCTCTCTCTTCTCTCTCTCCCTCTCTCTTCTCTCTCCCTCCCTATGTCTGTCCCTATCTCTCTCTGTCCCCCCCACTCCCCTCTCCACAGGTGCTCAGAAACACCGTGTTGCTCCTAAGGAGGACGTGGGGAGTGGCACAGGGTGACTGGGGTTCAGATTTCCAAGAGGGAGCGAGGGCAGCTGGCAGTGGTGCCCCTGGGACACATAGGTCCTGTTTACATCAGACACGTGGTCGGAACTTGGAGATGGTTTGTGACCCATCTAGAAGAGCCCTCCTGGCCTCTCAGCTGGCTGCACTGGTGTCCTGCCATATAAACGCACTGCGCCACCACGTGTCTGTTTTTCTCTGTCTGGCAAACCCCTGCGGGCACACACTGTGGTTTCCCGCTTCCCGGGCTGGAGCCCAGCATGTAAACTGGCGCCCAATCAACAGCCGCAAGCGTCCACAGGGAGCGAACGCTGGCTCCTCCTCGCTGTGGCCGAGGAGCCAGCAGGGCACAGGGCAGTGGGAACCTGCTCTTTACTGGGGGCTTCTGCCAGGACCACAGGGGAGATGGCTCTGGGTGAGTGTCAGCCCAGCTGGGCACAGTGGTCACACCTCCAATCCCAGCAACTCAGAAGGAGGATGGTGAGTTCAAGGTCAGCCTCAGCAACTTAGGGAGACCCTGTCTCAAAACCTAGAAAGGCTGCGGCGTGGCTCAGTGGTGCAGCACCCCTGGGTTCAACCCCAGCACCCAAAAGAAGAAGTCGGGAGGAGGAAGAAGAATCCAAACCCAGGCCAGGCCTTGTCGGGGCTTCTGCGTCCCCAGGAGAGAGTCAGCACTGACCCAGGTGTCCACGCCTCACAGGGAACAGGGTTGTGCCTCTGTCCTGGCACCTCCGGGGCTGGCAGGCCGGGTCCTGAGGTCCTCGCATGCAGAGGGGGCTCTGGTGGCACCTGCCTCCTCTCACGTGCCACAGGCCTCATCACCACTCAGGTCTGTGCCTCAAGTCTGTGTCTGTGGTTTGCTATGCCATAAGGTGACGGTCACGGGGGCACTTCAGTGACTCCCACACACGTTTGCCCCTTGCCCGGGAGCTGGTCCTCGTCACCTGGGAAAGCCCTGGCATCCTCCCAGAACAGGGCAGACCAGGGTCCTGTCTCGGTGCGTCTGACTTTGGGGACTTCGTCTCGGGCCGTGTGGCTCCGTGGTCTTTCTGCTGCCCACGTGGTCTCAGCCGAGCTGACTCCCAGCCTCCGCCTCCAGGTGCGTCAGAGGAGCCCACGGCCTCGAGGACTCTGGGCCTTCTGCTGTCCGCCAACCCCACAAGGCTTTGATCCCTGACCCTAAGGGACCCTGCCCTCCATGGGACCCTGATGTTCCTGGGCCTGCGGCAGTGCTGCCCACCTCCTCTGACAGGGCAGGGCAGTCCCCCCCCATCACTGGGCTCTTGGAGACTTGGCGTCAGGTTTTACCTGAAGTAGTGCTTGGCCGTCATCAGGGATAAAAGAACCAAAATCAGAAACAGCATTCTCCGCTTAGAATTCATTGCCTCCTAAGGAAAGGGAGGGAGGGAGGGTTTAACCCACAAGGAAGCACACCCTGTCACCTCCAGCCACAGGTCAACGGGCAGACATCTGGACACCACCTAGGGCCTCGCTTTCAGAGGGTGCGGCCTCGGGGAGGGAGCCCGGAGCTGGGACACCCCAGTTCTACGGACAGCGCCTGCCCATCTCCAGGAGCGGGTGCTCCTGATGTCCCCCTGGCTGCCGTGAGGAATGCAGACCCCGGGGATGGAGCCGGGGACCTCCTCAGCTGCAGGTGCCTTCCCCAGTGGCCTGTACTCCTTTGTCCTCCTAGGGACAGTAAGCTGGTGCTTCCGAGGCCATGGTGGTCCGAGACAGGCACCAGCCCCCAAAATGGAGCCCGTGCTCTGGCTGGGGCCCAGCTTGTGTTGCAGGTTTGTGTTGCAGAAAAGCCCCCTGGGGGTCGTGCAGGGAGGGGGTCTCCAGGCCAAGGGGAGCCTCTCTGTTTCATCACTGAACACTCATTTGATAACCTCCTGAAACGCGACTGCTCTGAGCTGATGGGGGCCTCTAGGCGGGAGCACACTGGCCTTTGAAGACACCCAGCCTGAGAGCAAAGATCTGAAATAGCTCTTCGCAGGTTTTGATATTGGTGACACTCTATGTTGGTGACACACTGCCGTGGGGACAGCATGCATGGCACCTGCACTTGCCAAGGTGGGCAAGACGAGCACTTTGTCACAGGGAAACTGGACGAGACGTAGCTCCCACCCTGTTTCCCCTGGCCACTCTGCACAACCCCTGGGCACGTTCTCAGGCCTTTGTAGTTTGAAGCTGTCCACCTTTTCAATTCAAGGCCATTGGAACCAGCATGCGGAGGGGCCAGTGTGGTCCCCCTAGCCACTGCCCTGCTCCCGTTCCCAGCAGCAACCCGCCCCTGCTGGTGCAGCCAACAGCCCCCTGAGGTCAGGTCAGGAGTGGTCACAGCCACCACTGACACCATCACCCCCACCTCCAAACACCCCTGGGCTACCTTTACCTCGGGTCAGGGTGGGTAAGGAGGCAGTCGAAGTCGTCCCCCAGGGACAGGTACTGTCCTGCGACCTCTGTCCAGTCAAGAGTCACACCCTGCTATGGCTCTCCTGCCTTCTGATGGTGGTGATGTCGCTGTTCTCCTTTGTGATGTGGGCATCCCTGGGCTGTCACTGCAGCAGGCCTGGCCACTGGAGGAGTCCCAGGGTACCTTGAAATGCTCTTCTTGCCTTGCCGTGCCCCTGTGCAGGTGCGTGGCCCACCCCCTCCTAGAGGGCACCTCGAGCAGTGGGCGTGGGCATTTCCGGGTGGGGCAGAGGAAGCCGAGTCCTGGTCTCCCTGCGTCCGCCCGGGGTGCCCGTCTCTTCCTGGGAGCCTGCTGGTGCTCATTTCCCCGACAGGACACACACCTACACGCTACAGCACGAAGACAGGGTGTGTGTGAGCCTGCCTTCTCCAGAGGACGTCCTGACTTGTGACCACAACACAGACCCATCAGAAAATGAAAGATTTTCTTACTGAAAAAATCTGGACACTAGTTTCTCGTGGCTGGCGGAGCAGCTGCCTCAAACGCAGGCCTCAAGCCAACTCGCCGATTCCCTTGTGGCTCGGCACCCGGAGATCTAAGAGGAAGGTCCCCCGGGGGGACGGGCTCCTGAGAATCCTGCGTGGGGTGAGCCAGTCCTTCCAGCTGAGCGCCAGGCTGGAGTGCTGCTGTGAGCAGCTCTGCTCTCCAGTGCTGCCGAGCTCGAGTCCGCTGGTGCAGGAGCCACCTACGTGTCTCCGTCTCTGATGCACCTGCTGCTGGATGCCTGGCTCCCACTTGGGCCACGCACCCCCTCGCTGCCTCTGCCCCTCGCTGTGCCCAGCCTGGGCCTCTTCCTGAGGGTCTGGGGGCTGCTCCTTCCTGTGGAGGCCAGGCACAAGGGGCGCCCCCAGGCCCCACTGCATGGCTCTGGGCACCTAAGCCCCTCCAGCCCCAGCCTGGCTCCACAGAGGGGGCAGGGGCAGCACCTTCTGGCCAGCGGAGCTCTTGCCTCTGTTTTCCGCTCTGGTTTGGAAGGTGCTCCCCACTCAGACAGGAACTTACCCCAGAGTCCTCCGTTAATGGTATCACCAGGGTGGGCACGTAATCCTGCTGTGGTATTGAGAAGTGGGGATTAGATTTGGGGTCATTAGGGTGGAGCCCCAACACTGAATCCTGGTGGCTTTTTTTTTTAAATTGGGTCTCACTATACTGCCCAGGCTGGCTTGAACTTGAATTCCTTGGCTCAAGCAATTCTCCTGCTTCAGTTTCCTAAATGGCTTAGGACATGTCACCATGCCTGGTTCCTGGCGCCTTTATAAGAAAGGAAGAGACCACAAGACACACACACACACACACACACACACACACACACACACGTGCTCCCTGTCTCATGTCTGTGCTGCTTTGGGACTGACAGCAAGAAGACCATCACCAGCTGCAGCCCCTAGATTTTGCACCTCCAGAACAATGTGCCAGAATAAACCTCATTTCCTTATAAAGTTAGCTACCTTGGACATTTTGTTATAGTAACAACAACTGACTAATACATTATCTGCCCTGTTTCTCAGTGAATACCCCTGAAACCAGGCGTGGTGGTGTATCCACGCCATTCAGGAAACTGAGGCAGGAGAATTGCTTGAGCCCAGGAGTTCAAGTTCAAGTTCAAGGCTGCCATGGCCTCACTGCCCTATTAGCATGTGTTTGTGCTTATGTCAAGTGTCAGGAGCAGCAATTGAATTATGGGTCTCAAATTATTCTGTGACAAAGGCCATGCCCCTCTGAAGAATTCTCCAAGCAAGGCTTTGATGGAGATAGCCCAGTTGCTATGGTGATGCCCCGTTCAAAGGGAGATTCTGTGCCAGTCTCAGAGTTTTATCAGTTCTTTACCTCGAGTTCAAATGCCACCGACCCGGGGGGTAGGGAGTTATGGGCTCAAACTGCTAATTGGGCTGCAGAGACTTTTATCCTTCACTCTGAGTGCTTTGAAGAAACTTTCTCACAATGAATCCTTTTGATGTTTGAACCCCCAGAATAAACGTGCAGAGCTGCCAGTCCCCCTCATCAGAGGCTGCTGAACCCCCGAGTCTGGCTCTTCCTCTGTTTGTCTTTCCGTGCTCCCCCTCACAGCCCCGTCCAGTAGCCCTGAATAACCTGTGGTGCAGGTTGCGGCAGGAGAGAACACAGAAGTGCTTAGGGAACGTTAATAATTCCATTGTACGGAGCCCTCCATCCAAGAATGTGGGTGTTTCTCCTTTTATTTAATTTTTTCTTTACAAATTTTCTTTTGGGGTCTTTAGAAAGATCATTGTTTACTTTGTACAGACCTGTCTCATTTTAGCGTGATCACTACCACTATATCGCATCACACGACTAAACCAGTCAGGGTCACTCCACGTGAATTTGGGGACTCAATAAAGACACAGACACAGAAAGTACCTTTTCTTTGGGTTCAGTGACAGCTCCTCAGCCACAGCTGCCACGAGCAAGAAAGACAGCGAGGAGCCACGCTGAACCCTTTTATTGGGGAGAGGCCACTCAAATGAGAGAAGGGGTCAGGGGTCAGGGGGTTGAGTCCAGCTTCCTGATGTCTGCTGTCAGCGGTTGACTGACACCTGGGGAGGCCACGCCCATCTCATGAGCTGTGTGGGGATCAAGGCAGGGCGCAGGAAAAGACCAGAGCGAGGCTCTAACAGAGGGCCCACGTCGGGTCTGTCCACCCTGTGCCCTCAGTGCCCACAGTTCACACACAGCCCAGGGCGGCTGGCCACACCTCCACTCTCGCATCGCTCAGGGCTAAGGGCGCTCGGGTCCTGTGTGGCAGCTCCCCACTTATTCCCCCTTTCCTAATAAGTGAAGGCAATTGGGGAATTCTATCTTCCAGTCACTGGATTCTTGGTTCAAGGTTGTCTTGACCTCCTATTGAAACCAAAGGACGTATCATTTCAATAACATACCCATCGAATGTTTCCGCAGATTTAGGGTCAGGGTCATTCAAATAACTTTGGAAGATCCAGGTTATTAGTATTCCTCTGCCAAACACTCATTAGAAGATTCTTGATCTTTTCCCAATTTTCATTGGCAAGCGTTGTGCTTGGCCATCGAAACACAGGCATGTTTAATTTGGCATTTAACCCTTTCCACAAACCACAGAGCAGAGGCTCATTCACAGTATTCATCCCAGTGGTTTCTAAGATTTTAACGTAGTTCCAATCTTTCCCTCAGCACTTATCTGATGATGAAGGGGCTTAGAAGTAATTTAAGTCAAATTATTGAAAAACCCATATGTTGTAAGTTTTAAAAAATAGCCACAAAGGCTGTATTGTAGGAACCATGAATAATATTTTAAGTAGTCACTTCAAGGATCCCAAGACCAAGAGCTGGCCCAGGTCTGGTTAATGGCACGCGCCTGTTTCAAGGCCTGAATGTCAGCCTCAGCAGGCCGGCTGGCCATAGGACACAGGGTCAGTGTCCTTTTTCTCTACCATAACTAGTGATAAGATTAGGCAAGTCGTACCTTTTATAGGTTACAGGATATGTATCCATCCTTCCTCTCAATTCTCACATTTAAGGAGTCTTTTAGGTCTGTCAGGAAGGTAAAAAGGCAAAAGTCAAACATCAGAACATCCTTTGGGGTGCCATCTCGCTGAGGATCAAGGTTTCTAGGAGTGATGGCATCCTCGTGATTCTAGGAGACCAGCCTAAGATCTATCCACTAGACCCCTTATGGCAGGGCATACGCACGACCCACCACCCAGAAAAGGTGTCGCCTTCTATTGTAGAAGGATCAGGGCTGTAATACACTGGTGGATAGTTCAGGTAAATACCTGGCCTGCGGGAAATTCTATTTCAGCAATCTCTCTGTTTTGACGATTGTCCAGATACATAGTCTTAATCTCTAAGGACCAGCATGACCGGCTGGTTGAGGTTTCTCAGAAGATACTCCCCGACAGCCTGTTCACCACA